GCCCAAAGCCTGAATAATGATGAAATGCACGTTCTCACTTTTGTATGAATCAAAGAGATTTCATTCTAAAGGCATTGAAGTCTGGGTCTCTTACCCCATAGCTGTAAATCTGGAACAGGAAACAAAATCATTAAGGTCACATATTTATAACATCATATTCAATTAGGTTGGAAGAGTGTAATTTCTGTCATCGTCTCATAAAAAGATGTGTTTTTCTCTCAGATCTCCTCGAAAGGGAAGCAGCCTCTATTGTGACAGATAGGGACTGTTTTCAATCAGTTACAAGGAGCAATCTAATTAGGAGATGGTTTAGTGCAGTAACTGACTCCAGACTAATTTGATTTCTTTAGGTCTCTAAAGATCAATTGATCTGATTTGTTTTCCCTCCCCAAAGGCTATTTAGGAAAAAAAGGAGACTGAAATGCCTCAAAATGAAATCCAAAACCTTCGCTGCTTTCACGCGACTTAGGTCATCTTGTAAACTCCCAGCTAGACAGCAGCCAGGGCTCCCTTGGGCCGCGGTCGAAACACCAAAACCTCCTTAGCTTTGGGGTGTTTGGGGAGCTGCTTCCATCGCCGGAAGCCTCCCCACTGAGTGGGAACTCCTGAGTGGACTCAAACCTGGAAGGGACCATTGAGGTCACCCTCGCATTTTATAGATAATAATAATAATGATGATAATAATTACAAACCATAATGCACTGCATCAGTGTAAGCTAAGTATTTTCTCCGCATAATCTCATTCAATCCTCATAACAGCTCTATGGGGCAAGACTTGGCACCAGGAAGTTCTGAGTTCAAATCCTACCTTTGATACTTATTAGCTGTGGGACCTTGGGCAAGTCACTTAACATCTGCTTGCCTCAATTTCCTCACCTGTAGAGTGGGGCTATTAAAAGCTCCTGCTTCTAAAGCATTCTGCAGAGCTTAAGGCACTATGTAAACGCTAGCTATGTTTATGCATGATGTACTGTATGCTGATAGTATATCATTATTGCACTATGATATGTTTGCTATTATTATACTATTATGTATCATATGCTGTTATTACTCCCATTTTACAGATTAGGAAACTGAGCCTTAGGAAAGCCCAAGGTTCTGTGGTTAGTAAAAGAAAAGGGGATGAGCATTTATATAGCACCTGTGGTGTGCCAGGCACTGTACTGATCACTTTACAAGTATGATCTCCCTTGATCTTCACACGCTCTCTGTGAGCCGGGGCCTGTCAGTATTCCCAGAGTCACCCAGCTAGGAAGTGTCTAAGGCTGGATCTGAACTCAGGTCTCCCAGAGCATGGGCCCAGCACACTATCCACCGTGCCACCAGCCACTCTCATACAAGGAAACGGAGGCCCACATGGTGTGAAGTCACACAAGAGTAAACGTCAGCACCAGGATTCCCGCAGGTGCACCGATCTTGCCCAGATGCAGCACTGCCTCTGGAAATGATTGGAAAGACTGTCCTCATGGATACTGATATCTCCAAGGGTTAACCTACATGTGCACCTAGACCCAAAAGGACCATAAATTCAGAGCCAGAATAGACCTCAGGAGTTTTCTAGTGCCACCCTTCATTTTATGTTTGGGGAAACTGAGGCCCAGAGAGACGCAGTGACTTACGCAGATTCACACAGGTGTGAAGCGTCAGAGTCCAAACTTGAACCCAGGTTCCCTGACCCCAAATCTAGCACTCTTGGCTCTGTACTATGAAGGAGGTTTTGTTTCCAGGAATAGCCTTAGAAATACTACCAGGGGTATCAATTAAATAACATCAGAATCCCATTGACCTTGAGGCAGTATGGTTTATCAAGAATGCTAAATTTGTAGGGAGGACCTGGGTTCAAATCCTGATCCTCCTGTTCAGTAACTGTGTAACCTTGAGCCCTCTCTGGGCTTCAGTTCCTTCATCTGTGAAACAAGAATCTAAGATTCACTGAAACAAGACGAATGAGGCCATCACGACCCCCAGGTCTGTAGACATACTTCAGATGTCAGCTCAATGGTAGGACTTGTCTGCTTCAACATCAAGTCTCTCTATGTTTATGCTGTCTCTCACAAAAGTAGCTTCCCCATGTCTGGCTGCCCGATGTGTTCTCCAGGCACGCCCCATTTCTGTTTGATAGATACCAAAGTACAGACATGTTTACATTGCTTTTGTCTGAGTGTTCCTGGTGCCACGCACAGCGCTGCCCATAGAGAGTGCCTAACAATGCTTGTTAGTCTAGTGGTCAATGTGTGGAAAGCCCAGCTATCCCAACTGGCTAAGTCCAATGGGAAGCCGCCATCCCCCATGGCAGAATCGCTTTCCTCTCCAGCTCTGAGCATGCTTTTGGTGCAGCAGAAATGGACAGTACCAAAAACAGGTCTACACTTGCATATTTATGCATCGATTGTCACGTTGATTCAACACATATTGATTGTGTTGTGTATGTTGCTGCACAGCTACAAGGAGGTGCTGGGAGAGATATGAAGTTCAGAGAAGACACAGTCCCTCACTCTCTGAATCTCTCTTCTTGGTAATGACCATTCTGAGACCCTGCATGATACTCTGCTTTATTCTGTAATGTATTTATGATGATCACAGTTTCATGTATGCTTTTTATCTCTGTGTTTGACTATAAGCTCCATGATGGCAGAAAATGATGTTTTTCCTAAGCTTTTTCTCTTCCCATCTCTACCCCAATGTTCTGAACACAATGGTCATCTGATGGATATTTGTTGAGTTGTTGAATGAATGGGCCATCCACACCCTGCTCCCACAGGCTGAAGTTCTGGTCAGCGATCTGTTGGATGAGCCATACCTCTGCCCAGGCTGTTGTCATTGTCTGGAACAGGGGTGAGGAACCTGAAGCCTCGAGGCCACATGTGACCTTCTAGGTCCTTGAGTTCGGCCTCTTGACCAAGTCCAAGGGGACTTGTTCTGTGCAGCTTGGATTCAGTCACAGAGCCGCACTTGAGGACCTAGAGGGCCAGACTCTGGAATGTGCCCCTTCCTCATCTAAAGCGCAGCTCAGCAGAACCCAGAGAACAGTTTATACAGAAGCAACAATGTAAAGAGAAAAGAACTTGGAAAGACTTGAGACCACTGACCAGACAATAATCAACCACCAAAAGACTGATGATGAAGCATGCCACTCATCACCTGACAGAGAAGTGAGAGAGTCAAGACGCGGGAGGAGACATACATTCTTGGACAAAGAAACTATGTGGATTTCTTTTGCTAGATTATGTGTATTTGTTACGAGGCCTTTTCTTTCTTTCTTTTTTTTTCAATTGAGGGGAGTGGTGGGTGGTAACGGGGGATAGGAACAGTGTTCCCAAACTAAAAAAAAAAAAAAGATGAGAAGGAAAACCAGAAGGAATCACAGTCCAGCAGGATGCCTTTTCAGTGTACATATTGAACTTATTATATGCTTAAAAAGAAAAGCAAACTCTAGAATAGAGATTCCCAGTTTCACCTACAATCCCCTTCTGTTCTACAGTGTGTGTCAAAATGCTCATTTTATTTAAGTGCTTTTAAGTTCCGAATAAAAAGCAAGAAAGGAGAGAAAGGGGGGAAAACAGAGCTTAGCTGCCATCTCCAACACAAGGCCCTTCCTTATCCCCCAGCACTAAAACAACATCTCATATGCAGTAGGTGCTCAATAAATGCTTATTGGATTGTGCTGCTAATGCTTGCTACCTTTGGAAACTAGTCTATAGATTTTCTATTTACTTATCTGTGTGGACCTTGTATACCCTGGTTTTGTACTTGTGTTTCCAGTGATCAGCAAGTGTCTTACACATCAGAAACACTTACCTAGGCCTACCCAGAGTATGGGCTGGTTGTTCCAATGCATCCTGAGGGAGCATTCCCACTGACTCTCTCTAGGCCTGTAGGTGCTCAGTAAGTGTTTGCTAAATTGAATTAAGTAGAATAGGACCAAAAATTGGAAAAACAGACATTTTCTGTTTTCTTAGAATGTGCTCAGAAACTCTGTATGCATTGAAAGAAAATATGACAATCTATGAGACGTTTGTACCAGAGATTTGGTTAGGAGTTCATGACCCAGTTACTAAGACTTCTGTTTTCTGGGATTTGGGTGTTCCATTAAAAAATATCTGTTAAGCATCACATAGACAAGAGCTCAGTTGATTTATTGTCTTAAATGAGCAAACCGACCTAATTGAAAAGAAGAGGCACTAAAAAAAAAATCAGGGGAGAATATGGGTGGTGTTAGTCTCAAGACCTGGGACCTCTACTAGTAAACATAAGGACCCTATGAAGCCAACTCTACAATTATGGCACCATACACGAGGTCGGGACATAGCACTTCAGGCTTCCACTTTACAGAGAATCATAGATTTAGAACTGGGAAGAACTACAAGTGGCCATCCAAACCCTCATGTTACAGATGGGGAAATCAAGGCCCAGAGAGTGGGTCTCACAATAACTTATCTGAGCTCACAAATAGTAAGGCTGTAGCTGGGACTTGAATCCATACCCTGTGACTCAAATCCAATGACCTTTCCATTGTACCACACTACCTCTTGCCCTCTTCCCTTCCCACAGTTTCTTTTCATCAACAGACATACTCCAGGAGACCTAGGAATGTAAAGATTCCTTGACTTTGCAGATCACCACTTTCCCAAGATGGAGCTTTGCAGCCATCAACAGGACTAAAATGGGTGATAACAAGAAGAGCCCTAGTTTATGCAATGGAAAGAATTTTCCAACCATCAAAGTAAACCCTTGAAGACGCCCCCCTCTGAAAGTTGCACATGTTACAGATCCAGCTATGGCAGCTGTCAAGATTCAAAGCAGTTCCCTATCTATAGGGCTTATAACCCAAAGGGGGAAAAAGAGATGGAGAAGGAGGTGCAGGGCAAGCAGAGAAACTCTTGGCAGCTAGATTGTAGAAAAAATGTACAAAGCTTTGTAGTTGAAAGTAGAGTTATGCTACCAACTTTCTCTTCTGTGTATCTTATCTGCAAGGAAAGTAAACAGAAAATCGTCATTACCTTTCAATATCAGTGAGCCTGGAGGAGTCTCGGAAACCTTTGGCGAATGGATTGCTGTCAATTTTCAGCTTGGTTATCTGAAAATGAGAGTACATGATTGTATCATGACAAGGGTTAAGGTATTACAGCATCTGGTCAGCCTGGACTTGGAAGCTCTATTCCTCCCCCACTTCAAAAATAATGTTTCTGGAATGAAAGAATTTTACATTTATTTATTCAACAAATATTGTTCATCTCCTCCCCCACCTGAGAAGTTGTCTTGCATCTCTTTTACATATGCCTATATCTGTGTTTGTCATTTCCCTCAAAAGAATGTAAGCTTCTTGGGGGGCTAGTATTGTTTAATTTTTTGTCTTTGTATGCTGGGCAACTAACCATGCATCTTAAAGGCTAGCGGTTTCACTGATATCAGGAATTCCCAGATGAGGAAAATCCCTCCACCAATGCAAGTGAGTGCCTTCTCTGTAATTAATACTCTTAGAAAGCCTATAAGAGCGCTAAGAAGTTACATGACTTGCCCAGGGTGACATAGTGCATGTGTGTAAGAAATGGGATTTGAACTTGGGATCTTCCTGCCTCCAAAGCTAGTTTTCTGTCCACTACACCAAGCTGCCTCTGACATCTCAAAGATGCTTAATGAATGCTTTTTGACTAACTGATCTGCCACAAATTAGGGAAACTATACAATTCTGATGCAGGCTCACGCTTGTGATGTCCCTAGTGAGATGGAGCTGCACAGACCCGTTAACCTGCATAGGCTGCTGTTACCTTACAAAGAGAAGAATCCATACAAAAAGCACCGACTAAGAAATCTCAGACCTTGTGAAAGAGCTCACACACACCCTCCTGCGGAATTCAGAAAGGTGAACAGTGAAAAGTCAAGTGGTAGGTCTCCTCACTGTATTTTTTTTTCATTTTGACTTAGGACTTTGTAGGCATAGGAACTCTCAGTATGGAAACTCCCTCTATTGATGCAGATCAGCAACTGTGCTTCCCTGCTAAAGGAAGATTCCCAGAGAGCTGGTTGGATCAGTGAGAGGTCAAGTGATCAGTCAAGGTCAAGTTCAGTAGATGTCAAAGGGGAACTCAGTCTTTCCAGCTCCAAGATTTCTCCCTCCACTACAGTGCATTGCTTCTTCTGCATGCTGAGGAACACAAATCTAACAAAGACTCTTTCTGAACAGCAACCAGTTGGCGCTCACGCTTCTTTTTCATTTGTTCAACCCTGAAGAGGTTATGTTTAGTTACAAGCATTATCAATGATCAATGATCAATGATCAATGAAAATGTTATACATAGCCTTCTAGATTACAACCCTTGAACAAGATTGGGATACAAAGCATTAGGTCTCCAAATTTCACAGAATCACAGATTTAGAAATGGTAAGGTCTTCAGTGACCAGCCAGCCAGATAAATGAACGTACCTGGCCGCACTGAGCCTCAAACGTGGTTTGGTTTGGACGGAAGGCTGAGGACGGCTAGAAGCAGCTCGTGTTCCTCTCCCTCAAGAAGTGTTTCTGAATCATGACTCTCGGTAGACGTTGTGGTCAAAAGAGTCAAGGGGCTAAGGATATTTGCAGCAGGGAGTTGACTCCTCTCATTTGGTCTGGGATTGGCTTTAGAAGGTGAGCCTTTGAGAGGAGGAATGCTTCTTGCTTTAAAAAAAAAACTTTTTGGAAACACTCATTGCCTTTAAGATTTGAAGAGCTCAATCAGTTTGTAACACCCTCAAGAAGTCAAGAACGCAAGTATTTATCAGACCGCCACTATGTGCCAGGCACTAAGCTTCTCTTCAATTTATTGTGTGTGTGGCTTGTTTCTTTCATTAGACTGTGAGCTCCTTGAGAGCAGAAAGCAAAAAGGAAAGGGGACAGCAGAGAATGAGGAATAGATGACATCATGGAAACAACGAACATGAGCTTGGGCAGACTTTGAGATAGTGGAGGGAGAAGAGCCTGGTGTAGTGTGCTACGGTCCGTGGGGTCGTAAGCAGTCAGACGTGACCGAATAGCAGCACCAACCAGCAAGGGCTAGCCTTGGAGTCAAGAAGTGGGTCTATCTCCTGCCTCTGACATACACCAGCCATGGAACCCTGGGCACATCACCTAACCTCACAATGCTCCCAGGCGATACCATGGAACTGTTAAGTCGTAAAGTAAATGCCGATCTAGTTTTAAGTCGTAAAGTAAATGCCGATCTAGTTTTCTGGTTGCCTTTTGCCTTTCTCTGTATCCCCAGAAATTAGCACGGTGCTTGGCATATATTAGGTATACAATAAATGCTACTTGACTGGTAGAGGTTGCTCCATCAACTGGATAAATCTCAGGTCTGGACAAAAATAAATCAATGTTTGTATTAACTACCTCATGGGGTAGTTATGAAAAATGTGCTGTGTAAACCTTAAAGTTCTAGAACAGTGAGTCGCTGGTGAGTGTGTGTGTGTGTGTGTGTGTGTGTGTGTGTGTCTATGTGTCCCTTACACTCTTTTCCCAAAGAAATGTTATCAGCAGCGGTTTGGTTCCCACACTACATAAACCCCTCTAGAACTCAGAATGTAGCTGAAGGTCTCACTGAAGTATAGTGTTTGAGAGATTGTAGAGATTGTGGAGTACAATTTTTCCAGTTGATAAATGGAGAAAGTGAGTCCCAGAAAAAGTAAGTGACTTAGCCAAAGTCACACAGCTTGGTAAGTAAAGGCAGCTGGGACAAGGACCCAGCTCCTATTAGGACCCTTTTCACTAACTCCACTGCCTGCCTCTAACACTTAGTAGAGACTTTCATTCTTTACTGTTGATAGCCAACAATTAGCACAGCACCAGCACATTAATAAATCTTTGTTAAATTGAATTACGTTGAAACCAAAAGACATAAGGGAAGTCATAATTAAGTTTAAGGATGATACACAAATTGTCCTTGGAAAAGCAAATACAGGAACGCGTAGAACGGTTTCTTTGTATGAGCAAAATTAACAAGAAACATCATTTATAGGACACTTGGCTTTCCTCACCCAGCCGTGAAAAAAGATCACCATAAAGTTACTGTAGCTTCTGCAACAGCATCTATTGCAAAGAATGATGAGATAAGAAATTCTAAGAAGCCTTCGACAAGATCCTCAAAGGCAAACATTGGTACTTAGCAACTTCAAAGCAAAGTTGTACGTAGAGGAAGAGATTTGTTGGATAATATAGTTGGGAATTAAAGCACAAAAGAGGTCAAAGACTGGTGGACTGATAAGAAGCCTCATCCCTACAGATGATGAATGTTTTCTTCAAGCAGAGTTAGAAGGTGCTGGGTTTGTGACTATTGAAGAGCTTATCTTAAAAGACAGGAAATGACCCATTACTAAAGTGAAGTCATTCAAACAGCTTGTCTTGGTGCAGACTGCTGTCAAAGCAAAGTCAAAATCAACATTGATTTAAGAGAAAGGAGAAAGATAAGAAGACACATAGTGCAATTACAACAGTTCCTAGATGACCTATTAAAAAGAGACACTGTGACAAAATGAGAAATGGAACAAGGAAAATATTGATACAGATTATCACCCCTGAAAGTCGCACAGCCAATCTACGCTCTAGATGGGACTGGAACCCAGATTTTCTTGACCCTGTGGTCAGCTCTCTACACTGCCTCTTGCTAATAAATACTTTTCATGGATTTACCTTTTACTTTTGTCAGTTTGTTTTAATTTTACAATAAAGGTTAAAATGTATAAATGTGAAGTTCAAAAGTATAATCAATAAAATATCTAATAATTGTTTTTTCATTCTGATTCTGCTGAAGAAAAACAAGTTGAGGGGGCAGCTAGGTGGCGAAGTAGATAAAGCTCCAGCCTTGGAGTCAGGAGGACCTGAGTTCAAATCCAGACTCAGACACATGATACTTACTAGCTGTGTGGCCCTGGGCAAGTCACTTAACCCCAACTGCCTCACCAAAAAACAAAACAAAACAAAACAAAATTAGTTGTAACACACATAAGGGCAGCTGAGTGGCGCAGTAGATAGAGTGCTGGGCCTGGAGGCAGGAATAACTGAATTAAAATCCAGTTTCAGACACTTACTATTTGTGGGATCCTGGGCAAGTCACTTCACCCTGCTTGCCTTAGTTTCCCCATCTGTAAAATGAGCTGGAAAAGGAAATGGCAAACCACTCCAGTGTCTCTGCCTAAAAATTACTGGTTGTTGTGGACTAATGAACCCTCTCTTCCCCTTGTGCCACTGACCTTTGGAGGCTCTGATAGGCCTATAGTGCTGAGGGTCCTGAGAACCTCAGAGTCTTAAACTTCAGGAAAGATTATAATACAAATTCCATCTAACAACTGAGGTCTTTCCCATCTTACTATAGTAAGTAAGTAAAGTCTTACTATATCCCAGACCTGATTAGGGTTTGCAGATGTTAATGACATCCTATCAAAGGGTTAAGACTAGTCCCCAGAGACTTGTCTCACCAACCAGAAAAATCTCCTCAAAAGCACTGAAAAATGAAACTTCACCTATGCTTCAACTCTAGAGTAGTGGCTTGACTGTTCAAACAAATGCATGACCTTTACATCTTAAATTATGAGATAGTTTGTTGAAAGTGTAATGTATTTAACTCTTATCTAATAATGAACAAAAATGTAATTAGCCCCTTGCAAAAGACAGGGGAGAAATGGCCAAAAAAAGTTTCCATTTTTATTGCTCATAAATAAAACTCCTGGCATACAATGAATTAGAAGCAATTTCAGAATTTCTATTGGGAGGTTTAATTTCGTATATAGGAGCCATGAAAATAAGCACTCATTTGCCCAGGGCTTAAACAAAATTAAAATGGACCTGATGAGAAATGACAGTTTGTCTCAGTTTCCTCATCTGTAAAATAAGCTGGAGAAAATTGTTTTAATAAATTATGTTACTAAATATTATTCTCCTTTTCTTTAAAATTATATTATTAAACATTATTCTCCTTTCTTTTCTGTTCTTTCTCTTTTTTTTTTCACAAGAATCTATGCTTATTTTGTGGCAGCAAAGTGGCACTATAGTCATAGAGCAATGGACATGGATTCAAGAAGTCCTGAGTTCAAATCCAGCCTCAGACACTTACTGGCCATGGGACCGTCAGCAAGTCACTTAACCTCAGTTTGCCTCAGTTTCCTCACCTGTAAAATTGGGATAATAATAGCACCTACATCACACAGTTGATGTGAGGATCAAATGAGATAATAAAATAATAAATAATATAAATGTATTATAAATAAATAATATATTATAAATATATTATAAATAAATAATATTAATAAAATAATAAAATGAGATGTGAGATGTTTAGCATATAGGAAGTGCTATATAAATGTTAGCTATTATCATTAATAATAACAATAACAATACAACCCTCAGGCCCTTCCACATGGATTTCATACGATTCCCCTTCACATACCCTATGGGCCTTCCAGGCTTTCCTCCCAGCTCTACCTCAAACTCAGTGCTCAATCCACCATCTCCCCTCCCTTGGCTGTTCCTAATACCTGAAATGTTCCTCACATGATGATGATGATGATGGTGGTGGTGATGATGACTGCATTTATGTAGCAATTTAAGGTTTGCAAAGTGTTTAATAAATATTATCTCATTTGATCCTCGTGACAAGCCTGAAAATAGGTATCATTATGATCCCCATTTTACAGATGAGGAAGTTGAGGCTGAGAGATTAAGAGACTTGTCCAGGGTCACGAAGCTAAATAAGTATGTGAGGAAGGATTTGAATTTAGGTCTTCTTAATACTGCACCACACAGCTTCCTTTATGTAGATCTCTTAGAATTCTTAGCTTCCTTCAACATTAAGCCACCCTGCCACCTCCTGTGGGAAGTATCTTCTGATACTCATCAGTTGCTAATATTCTGACCCTCTCAAATAATTACGTATATGCTTCTCTGCTTACCTGTTGCATCCCTTCCCTGCCCAGCAGAATGTATACTCCTTGAGGACAAAGACTGTTTCGTCTATGTCTTTTTATCCCCAGGGCCCAGCATAGTGCTTAGACTATAGGAGGTGCTAAAGAAATGCTGTTGGACTTTGGAAGTATGGCCTTAGGTCTTGACTTTTGTCAGCCCTGGATTCCTAATTGCGATCAGCCCCATGGTAGGGATAGTCAGCCTGGACATTCTTCCTGGTGGATCCATAACCTGTCCGAATAACACCACACACTGATTTTTCGCAGGATGGGGCCACACAAAATCAGTCTCTCAGACACTAAGCGTCTGTTAAACAGCCCACTATTGGCCACAGTGCCAGGCTCTGTGCTAAGACCTGGGGATGGAAAGAAAGGTAAAAGACAGGCCCAGCCCCCTTACAGTCTAATGGTGGGATGCCGGCCAACATTGGAGCAGCTAAGCACAAACATGGTGCATAGGCAGGATAAGGCACTAGCACAGGCTGGGGAAGGGCTTCTCGTAAAAGGCAGGACTTTAGATGGGACTTGAAGGAAGCCGGGAAAGCAGGGAGGCAGAGATGAGGAGGGGGAGTGTTCCAGGCCTGGGGTCAGGCCGTGGAGTGTCTCAGGTGATGAACAGTAAGAAGGCCAGGGTCACTGGATCACAGAGCGCATGAGGGTAAGGCACAAGGGGACTGGAAAAGCAGGAAGCGGACAGATGATGAAGGGCTGTGCACACCGGACGTAGCGTTGCCTGTTTGATCCTGCATAGGGTAAAATAAGATCCTGGATTTGGAGGCTCTTAACTCATGTTTTCAAACAGAAATCGGAATTGTGAAGGCGGAATGGTTGCTTTTGGACACAGATTCCTTGAGGGCAGAGGCTGCTTCAGTTTTGTCTTTGTATTACCAGCTGGGAGCACAGGCCTTACCACACCGGAGGCACTTAACAAATGGGTGACGGATTGAAAGGCAGAGGAGTGTGATTGATGTCCAAAACTGAGTTCCAAATGGCTCAGCCACTAACCATTCGTGACTTACCCACGTGACTTTGGGTAAGTCATTTCACTCCTCTGGGCCCCGGGTCTCTCCTCTGTAAAATGAAGGGATTGGGCTACTTGGCCTCTGATATCCCTTCCAGCTCAAGATTCGTTGTCCCACAGATGGAATGCAAGTGCTTTTTCAAACCTTCTAAATTATATCAATGGTCTTTTCCATGGGCCTACATTCTCATCACATAACAGAAAACTGGCCAAACCAAGAAATTAGAATACCTGCATCTGAGGCATTTACTATCTGGCCTTAGGCAATCCACTCACCCTCTCTGACCCTCAGTATCTGAATCTGTAAAATGGGCAGCTAAGCGGCGCAGCGGCCTGGAGTCAGAGAGCCCTGAGTTCAAATGTGACCTCAGACACTTATTAGCTGCGTGACCTAAGCAGATCACTTCATCCTGTCTGCCTCAGTTTCCTCATATGTAAAGTGAGCTGGAGAAGGAAATCCCAAACCAGGTCAACGGACACAACTGAAACAACTGAACGACAGCAACAAAAGCAGCAATAGCGCCGGCTCTGACCGCCACTGAGGTTTGTCTCTAATGGATGGAGAGCTACTCTGACAACCGTGAAGACGCTGACACTGATATCAGGGACTTGTATTTAAACAAGGATGAGGCATGCCTGCCTATGCCCAGTAAGCAGGGAGGGGAGCTACACTGTAAGCTGCTGAGACACTCAAAAAGTTCCCAGGAGAAGATTCCAAGAGCCGTGAAGTTAATGATCCAGCATCGTGGGATATGACATTAAAAAGATCCAAAGGAAAGGAAACAGGTGAATTTGAGGCAGCAGGGGGGAAGGTCTGTGAAGCTGAGTCAGAACGGGCTGAAGATGATGGCACGTGCCCTGGGGCAGTCTAGGTCTGACAAGCTGTTGGCTCCCACTCGGGCATGTGTCTTAAGGGTGAAGTAGGCGGTCCCTCCCCCTCATCCCTTTCATGTCATAACCCCTCGACGTCCAGCCGAAAGGAAGGGCCAGCTCCAAGCGCCAGTACATGCTCATGGGGGGCAACCACCATACAAACCGCCCACTCACCAGCTGATTCTGGTAGGCAGTGACCGCTGTGAAAACGGTCTCCGGGAAGATGAATGTCCTGAATTCTTCAGACTTCAGATTGAGCAGGGAAGCAGTGTGGTCCTTCTTCTTGATGATGTGGACTCTGGGCTGGTATTTGTGCATAGAGTTCAGAATAATCTAAGAAGAAGAAGTAGAAAGCATGGGCTGAAGGTGATAGCCCCATCAGTTTCAACCAGACCTTATGTGAATTAATGGAGCCAAATTTTAAAATATAGATTTTTTAATAGGTCAAGATAGGCAAGCTTGCTATCTTAGGATCATGGATTTTGAGCTGAGCTGTCTGGATTAGGTGTCCAAGTTTCAGTGGAATATTCAATTGCTTTCATAAAAGGATATCGTCAGTACCCATACTTCCCCAAACCCAAGCATATCAGAACCTCTCTGTAATTTAGTGGATGGTCTTTATGAGTTGCTGTAGTTGAAAATTCACCACCTTGCATCCAGTCTGGTGATGAGATTGTCTACTCCAATCCCCTTATTTTACAGTTGAGGAAACTGAGGACCAGAAATACTAAAATGTTAGTCTAAGGCCACACAAGTTGTAAGCAACTGACCCAGGATTCGAACCCGGGTTCCAGGACTCCAAATCTGCTCTTTCAATTGTACCTTAACTATTTAGATTTATAGTCACCCTAAATATACAAGGATCTGTGGGGGTTTTTGCATTGTGCCTCACACATTTAGGTGTTTAATAAATGTTTATCGAACGGCACAATGGGGAAGTGTTCTGGGTTTGGAGTCAGGAAACCTTGGTCCACATCCCAGCTTTGCCAATTACTCCCTATTTGATCTTTGGCAAATCACCTGCCTCAGTTTCCACCTCTATAGAATGAGGGGGTTAGACTGGGTGACCTTTGAGGCTTCTTCTGATTCTAAATCTTCAGATTTTGAGCATTTTCATCAGAGTGAATACTTCTATTGACAGAGCATTTCTCCTCCATCCTTTGGAAAATAGTCTTTCCGAATTGCTGCAACTGAAAACATCCACTGCCTATTGGCCAAGCATGCAGTGATGGATTTCTCCTCTCTTTGGCTGCTTACAGGTTTTACAAGGCTGGACCTGCTCTGTAAGCCTTCCAAGCTTGGTAGGACCTGACAATTTGCTTCTACTGGCAGAGCCTCAGAAAACCCGAGGCTAGCCTTTCCCCATCAGAATGTGGCATATGAGGGAGAGGTTAGTGAATGTCATTGTTAAAGACCAGAGATGGAGGAGAAAAAAGAGGAGGAGGAGGAGGAAAAGGAGGGGAAGGAAAAAGAGGAAGGGAAGGAAGAAGAGGAAGAAGCAAAGGAGGAGGAGAAGAAGGAAATAGCCATAAAATCCACAATCTAAAATTCAATCTATCCTCCAAGAGGCTCTATGTAAGGGTACCATCCTGCATTATCATGGGATGATGTTGAAGAGTCACCTCCATGAATCCTCTGAAGACTAAAAAGAGTGACAACCCTACAAGCTGTGCAGGCATCTCATGGTTCCTTTTCTTGACATTTGGGGAGGGGGAGAGAAGACTGCTAGCACCCAATGGAATTGTTGATATCAATTAGGTCATTACATTTCCCTGTGTGTTCTGTCCCCAGAGCTGTTTCAGCATAGGAACGCTAAGCTCCATGCCCCCAAAGTCTGAATTAAGAAATTAAGTATCTAGGAAGACCAAGTGGCGAATACCAAATGGCACATGGACATCTTGACCTACTGCGTGGCCCATGGACTCACTGGTTTCTAGAGTCATACTGTGCTGTCGGGCATAGTCATTTCCATTTGGATGCTAACAAAAGTTGCCAAAATACAGGTGTTATTGCGGTAACACTCACCACCCAGGGCGTCTCATCGTAATCTTTTCCATAGTTCTTTTGGAGCTAAATGCTTTAAGATATGATGAAACCAGGGCAATTCTGAATCACTTTTCCAAAGATGCACATTTTCTGCAGAGACCTGGTAGCTGGTCACCTTTCCCTCAGCCTGTGTTCCCAGGGGACTATGGGCTCAGCCCCAGGTTAAGAGAGACAAATATGGTGAGATAGGCTTGTACTACTGTTCCTATTATTAGAGTTACATAGCTGGACTGCACCTCTTCCCTGGATCACATTTGCTAATTCCACAGGGTTTTCAGAAAATGACTATTTCCCATTTTAGAGGTTGACCACCTCTTCTTTCTGGATACTTTCACCTTCCTTTTCTTGAAGGACTATGCCCCCTCCAGGTTATCAGCAATCCTAACACACTTTGAAATGATGCTCTCAAGTTTGTAAGCAGATTTACTTACATCAGTGCAGCAGAGTAGAAAAAGCCCGGGCTCTGAAGGCAGAGGGCTGTGGCTCAAACCTTGCCTCTAGTGCTTACTACCTGGATGACTCTACCCCTGAATCAGGAGTCAGAGGACCTGCGTTCAAATCTAAACTCTGCCGCTTATTGTGTGTGTGACCTTGAGTAAGTCCCTTCCCTGTTCTGGGCCTCAGTTTCTTTCTCCATAAAATAGAAGATGGGCCGTTTCAGTTCTAGATCTTAGAGTCTAACATTGTGATGCTTACTAGGCCAGCACGGGAATTTTCTCTAGCACTTTGAGTCTTTATTTAGAAATGTATTTATTTATTTATTTTGCATTGTTGAGTTGATCTTCCAGGTAAAAAGGATTGATCTTTGTCCTGTGGTCACCTGGGTGGAATGTCACTCTCCAAAAATAGCTCCACTTCGGTATGCCAAGATGATTGAATTTCCATGATTAGAGATTTATTTCATAGTTTCATCATATCAAATGTGGACATTACCTCAGGGGTCTTGCCCTGTCCTTCTTACAAGTTAAGAAACTGAGGTCAGGAAGCAGCTAGGTGGCGCACTGGAGAGAGCACCAGACCTGGAGTCAGGAGGACCTGAGTCCAAATCTGGCCTTAGACACATAATACTCATTAGCTGTGTGACTCTGGGCAAGTCACTTAACCCCAATTGCCTCACCAAAAAAAAAAAAAAACCACCAAAAAAACCCCCAAAACTGAGGTCAGAGAAGTTAAGTGACTTGTCCACGATCACTCAGGTAGTAAGTGGCAGAACTGAAGCTGGATCTGGAGATAAGAAGACCTGAGTTCAAATCTGACTTTAGACACTTACTAATAGTATGATCTTGGTCAAGTCATTTAACCTCTGTTTGCCTCAGTTTCTTCAACTATAAAATGGGGGTAATAATAGAACCTACCTCTCAGGGGATGTTGTGAGGCTCAAATAAGATATACGTAAAGCACTTAGCATAGTGCCTGGCCCTAAGTAGGTGCTATATACGTGATAGCTATTATTATTATTATTATAGAATTAATTATCTCTTGCCTGTTAATCCTCAGTTTAATTTTAGAAATTTGAGGATTTTTTCCCCCAGTGACCATTCAGATTTGTCAAAATAATCAGAGTTCATGAAGCAGAAAGGATTTGCTAAGCCAGGACCATGTTTCTCTTCTTTGCCTAACATTTAGTTCCATGTATGGGCTCTGCTCAAACCTGGCAAGAGGCAGATCTGTCTTGCATTAAGTTTCCTGATCAATTCAGACAGGCAGCAGAAGTCTTTTGATGCGGATTGAAATTAATCTTGGTCTATCACCTGAAGAAGTTGCTCGTGGCCTCTTGCTTTCAACTCAACTCATCTGCCTCTGGGAAATGTACAGTCCCACTCCTTGCTGCAGAATAAGATGTCACACACCCTTCCCTTAAATCCATACGTGGCCTTTGTGTATGAAAAGACGTTCATCACAGGATCCACCCACTTCTTTGGGCAAATTGCATTGACTGGTTAGAAATTGTAATGGTCCAATTAGAATTCCCACAAGATGTCCAGATAGCTACACTTTCACAAACCAAAATAAAAACAGCAGAGAAGCAAAGACTGTCCCATAATGTTGCAGCTAAGCGGTGCATAGATTGCTGGACTTTGGGTCAGGAAGACCTCAGTTCAAATCTCACCTCACACACTTCACTAGCTGGGTGACATGAAGTAATCATTTAACCAATTTCAGACTCAGTTTCCTTATTGGTAAAATGTGGGTCGGAACAGCACCTACCTTATAGGGTTGTTGTGAGGACCAAAATAGATAACATATGCAAAGCACTTAGCAAAACTTAAAGCACTGTACAAATTATCATTTTTTCTATTATTATTTTACTCCTTTAGTATGCATAATACATGATTGTAGCATGAAATAATGGCCTCCAAAGAACTAAACATGAATATCATCAAAAGGATAATGGAGATTTGCCCAGCAGGCATGAGGAGGCAGTAAAGCAGCACAATCAAACATTCAGGAAGAAGAACCACTGAAGCAGCCCCATCAAAGGATGTACACATCATAAAGAAGATAGGCTGGTCAGGAGGCAAGAGAGAGGGATAGATAGCCAATGGACTGCCACTGTGCTCCCCAGCATCCTCCTGATATTAAGAGATATGCAGACAGGTCCCTGAAAGATCCAGTGGACCTCTTGGGGGGCAAACTGTTAGAAAAACATGGACAAGGGTCAAAGAAGATAGGCAACTATGGGTGGATTGCAATCCACCGCAAAAGAGGGAATATCCACATTGATGAGATCATATATCCACTTGAATATTTTGGAAGTATCTATTCAACGATTCAATTAGTTATCTCAGTCAACATTTACCATGCTTTTTAAAAAAAAAAAAGCTTAAAATGAATTGGTAACATTTTCTAAATGACCCTCCGTTAGTCTCTGCTAGCATTGGGTTTGCATTTCTCCTATGCATGTAACATATTATATTTTACACTACAGCTATTTGCTTACCTATCCTATCTTCTTAAATAGCTATTTGTGTACTTGTTTTATTTCCCTTACTGAAATAGTAGGCATGTTCTCAACAGAAAATAAGTATCATTCTGAAGGGAGAAGAGAAGAGAAAGAAAATGGAAAGAAGTTAGGAAGAAAAGGAGGGAGGGAGAAAGGAGATGGAGGGAGGGAGGAGATAGAAGGAGGAAAAGAGAGTGAAAAAAGAAAGGGGATGGAAGGGAAGAAGGAGGGAAGAAAGAAAGAGAGGGAGGAAAGAAGAAAGAAAGAAAGAAAGAAAGAAAGAAAGAAAGAAAGAAAGAAAAAGAAAGAAAGAAAGAAAGAAAGAAAGAAAGAAAGAAAGAAAGAAAGACAGGAAGGAAGGAAGGAAGGAAGGAAGGAAGGAAGGAAGGAAGGAAGGAAGGAAGGAAGGAAGGAAGGAAGGAAGGAAGGAAGGAAGGAAGGAAGAAAAAAGAAAGGAAGAAGGAGAGAGATAGAAGGAGGAGGAGGGAGGGAGGGAGGGAGAGATGGATTAGTTCCAAACGCAAATTCCACATTAAGGTTTGTTTCCAATTGCACCATTCCAGGCAGGTCACTTACATGGCCGTGTTGATCCAGTTCATTATTTGTGAGTTTCACTTTTTCAAAAGACACCATCTGTTTCAGCAGCTGCTCTCCAGTGAAAGGAGAATCTGGGTGCACATACAACCTGGAGGAAATCACACACAAACCTTTCCCGGTGAGACACGTTCAACCTGTGCTCTGGTAGGCTCTAATAAATCATGATTCTAAAGCAAGGATGGCTTCATTTTTGTTTTCGTATCCCCAAAACCTAGGATAGTGCCTGGCATGTAGTCTAGACACTTGGTAAATGTTTAGTAATTGATTGAAGGGACACTTTGACTGTTTGGGTTTTTTTAGCTGCTCAATATTAAATGCAAATCACAAAGCAATGGTGTAAAGTTTCTCATCAAAGACTCTAAGCTTTTTTGCTTATAAACTAAAAATAGCTAGCAATTATATAGCATTTTAAGGTTGGCAAAGCACTTTACAAACATTTCATTCTAGTCTCACAACAATCCTGTGAGATAGACACAGATAGATAATAATATATCTCCATTTTACAGAGGAGAAAATTGAGGCAGACAGGTTAATCAATTTACCTAGGGTCACAAAGTCAGTAAATTTCTGGAGCAAGATTTGAACTCAGGTCTTCATAATTCCAAATCCAGCATTCAATCCACTGTACTACCTAGGTGTCTAAACCAGTAGCCTAAAATCAATGGAAGGGCTCCTTCATTCTAGTGTCTTCACTCTGAGATTGTCTTCTGTCTGCCTGGTCTGTATCTTATTTGTACACAGTTGTTTGCATGGTGTCTCCCCCATCAGACTGGGAGCTCCTTGAGAGCAAACACTATCTTTTTGCCTTTCTTTGTCTCCCCAGTGCTTAGCACAATGCTCACAACTTTATGATGTGCTTAAGAAATGTTTATGACTGACTAATTAATTTGTAGCTTCTTTCCATAATCCAAGTAAGTAAAAACATTTTACATAAGTGTGAGTATTTTTCTGGTGGAATGGAATGGAAAAAGCATTGGATTTGGGTGAGGGGACTTGGGTTGGACTTCCAGCTTTGTCACTAGCCCTGTCACCACAAGCAAGTCAGGTTACCTTTCAGTGCCTCAGTTTCCTTATTTTCAAAATGAGTATGATACTAATAACTGAGCTACCCATTTTGCTGGGTTTCAAGGACAGTACTTGGAAACATGCCTTAGAGATGTGAGTGATCATTGCTATTATTGCTTAGCTTTCCAATCAGCTGCTAATTAGAGATGGCCAATGTTATAACATCTAAGTTGTATCAGTATCGTAAAAAATAATTAGGTCTTCCCACTAAATGTTTAAAGGAAATTACTATTTAATATCTCCTACCAAACAGATGGAAACTGGGCAATTTAAAGTTGAAAATCACTTTTGTAATTTCATTAACTTCACCTAAAGATTAGTCAGCCTAGAGCTTTCTGGGCATCTTCAACCTGGGTACCACTGTAGATGCCAGGGAGAATCATTGGAATACAGTAATTCAGTGAACACTACTTTTTCTTTTTTTAATAAGGCAATTGGGGTTAAGTGACTTGCCCAGGGTCACATAGCTAGGAAGTATCAAGTGTTTTGGTCTGAGGCCAGATTTGAACTCAGGTCCCCCTGACTTTAGGGCCAGTGCTCTATCCACTGCACCACCTAGCTGCCCCAACACTACTTTTCTGGAGATAAACTTCCCATCTGTGGTTCATCTATGCTGTCTTCTGCTCTTCCTTATTCGTGCTTCACATACTTTCATTTTTAGTAATAATAACAACATAGCAATAAATCTATAGGTAGCTGGGTAGAGCAGTAGATAGAGTACCCAGCCTAGAGTCAAAAAGACTCATCTTCCTGAGTTCTAGTCTGACTGCAGATATTCACTCTATGACCCGGGACAAGTCATTTAACTCTGTTTGCCTCAGTTTCCTCATCTGTAAAATAAGCTGGAGAAGGAAATGGCAAACCACTCCAGCATCTCTGCCAAGAAAACCCCAAACAGGGTCACAGAGAGGCAGACATGACTAAACAACAATAAACCCACAGAAGATGAATAAAAAGCAAGTGTTTTATCCACCTGTGCAAGAATCTATAGAACATTGAACAGTAGAAGGAGAGTCTTGTCTTGAGATCATCTCTATCTGAAAATCGTTGGAAAAAGTAAGAGTAAGACAACAGCAATATTAATACCAGGAAATAATAGCTCACATTTACATAGCGCTTCAGGTTTGCAAAGTCCTTTATACGTTTTATCTCATTTGGTTCTCACAATAACTTTGTGAGGTAAGTGCTATTAATATCTTCCTTTTACAGAGGGAACTGAGGCAGATGGCAATTAGGTGATTTGCCTGGAGTCACGCAGCAAGTAAGTGTCTGAAACAGGGTTTGAACTCAGGTCATCCTGACTCCAAATTCAACACCACTGTACTACCTAGCTTCCCTTAATGTACACTATTCATAACGAGACAATATAAATAATAGAAAATGGTAGAAACTGCACCATTCATTAGTCCATGCCCTGGTCACTAGAATTATACATCAGAAGCTTAAAACTTTTCATGGATTGACAGATGACAAATTCCCACAGGAGAAATACAGCCTTCAACTTATCTTAGAGAATTCATCCAGTCAGTCAAGAAATGTTTATTATATTCCTACTATGTTTCTACACAACCATAAACTATACTGGGAGTGGACCATTATCACAGATTGAACTGTTGCCCACAATCCCTAGGAAATAACACATCCACTAAAAACTCAAGAACATTGTTAATAGATTTCACCACGCCAAATTCTCAGAACCTCCATGGTACGAAAGTTTTGGAACAAAACACTTCTGAAATAGAAGCCAAGCAGAGGATCTCAAATGAATGTGGGAATAGAATTTTGTCTGCTGTTGGTATTGTCCCAAGGCTGCTTTCAGTGAGCCCACAGAGAATGGGCGTGCATCCTAATATTTTTATTCAACTACTAAAAGCAATTATTTTAACCGTCTGTGCAATGATCTGTGGCATATTAAATATTTAAAAGTAACAGGTTAGCAACCCCATCCAAGGACTATTTATACCTGGTCCCATCTAAAAAAGATGAGAAGAATGATATGATAATGACAAGATGACCAAGAAAAATTGTGTCTACTGGATACCTAAAAAGACCTTAGCTGGAAACTAGAAGTATATGCCAGAAACTCACTATCTTTTATAAGCTCACAGACAACTCACAGCTCAAGTACTCTTGGAAATTCAGTGAATAAAATGAAGCGGAATTAGTATGTCCTTACAGACATAATCATTGCCTATAACCACCTCAACTTAATACTGATCCAAGGGGGCAGCTAGGTGGTATAGTGGATAAAGCACCAGCCCTGGAATTAGGAGGACCTGAGTTCAAATCCAGCCCCAAGCACTCAACAGTTATGTGACCTTGGGCAAGTCACTTAACCCTGATTGTCTCCTAAAACAAAACAAAATTTGAAAATAATGACATTTTTAAAATAGATGTTGGTATACTGAAAAGACTTCATAACACAAAGGCCTCGTAGAAGATCTCAGGTATGGTAACAGCATGAGGTTTGTGACATCCCTGTTTTCGTGTCCACTACTGGAGGAAACTAAGGAAGCTTTCAAGGAGTCTACTGAAAATGAGCTTACATCCCCAGACTTATTCAATTACAAAACACTGCGTTTTTCTACCTGTATAATAGTCCTTAGCTCAGTCAACATAAAAGAATAATATAGCAGGAGAGCAACTTGTACTTAGACCATTTCCATCTGAACACCATCAAAAAAGGATAAGAAGGAGATAATAATAGCCAACATTTCTGTAGTGCTTTAAGGTCTGCAAATCACTTTATTGATACCTTGTCTTATTTCACCCTCCCAACCTCCCTCTAAGGTGGGTGCTATCTTCATTCCCATTTTACAGGTGAAGAGCATGAGGCTAAGAAGTTAAAGGAAAATTCCTTAAGAATCAAGTAGTCGATGTCTAAGGCAGGAGTCAAACTCAGGTCTCTCTTGACTCTTGCAAGGTCAACACTCATCCAGTGCGTTTGTGCCTTGCTGCTTCATCACTATTGTCACTATTATCATCACTATCGTCTATCATCACTATTATCAACATATTGACTGTGTCCATTTTACACCCAGCACAGGGTGAAGGGAAATAAAAGGAGATAAACTCCATATTAGATCATTTAATGTAAACAGCTCGGTTGAATTGAAAATATTGAAGTTGAAAATATTGACTCAAATGGAACTTTGGATTAAGTGAGGATTTTTAGCCACTCACACTGACTTTGTTCCCCTTTGCTAACAGCAAACAATAATTGGATTTCACTTTTTTTTGCTTGCATTTTGGCTATGTTCATAAATCTAATGACTGGTCGTAATAATAACAATAATAATAATGCACACTTATATGGAACTTTTCAGCTTGCAGAGCACTTTTGTCATCATAATCTATTAATGACATTACCCTTGCTTTACAAATGTGCTAGCTGAGACTCAGAGAGATTAGATGAGCGACTTGCCCAACTGGGAGGCCCTCCTTACAGGGATCCTCTGATTCACTGTCCTTTCTACTACCCCGTGCTGTCTATGTGGGCATCTGCCCACAATGTCTAGCAACATTACAACAATACACCAATCTGTGTCTGGAAGGGGAAAGAAATGGAGACCACTCTAACTACAGAAGTATGATAAATTTTTTAAAGCAATGAAAGGTGTTAGGATGATAACCTAAGGGGAAAAAAACTATATGGAATAAATTCAAGTTTAGACTCTCCAACAAAAATTTAGCACCAAATAAAAATACTAGCATACAAAAAAATCATTCATCCATCCTCTACAGAGCTTCCTAACTGATATTCCTGAAACATAGCTGACTCTGTCATTTCCTTCCCTGAAAATCTCCAATGGCTCCCTGTTTTCTCTACAAATAAAATACAAGCTCCTCCTCCTAGCATTCAAAGCCCTTCCCACCTACTTTTCCAGTCCCATATTATATCACTACCCCCCTTTTTCTTTTTGGTGAGGCAATCAGAGTTAAGTGACTTGCCCGGGGTTACACAGTCAGTAAATGTCAAATATCTGAGGCCAGATTTGAATTCAGATCCTCCTGATCCTGGGG